AAGAAAACAAAATTTGCTAATCAAGACGTTTTGAAATAATGACCACATTACCTACTGCTCCAAAACTACCATTACATTTTTAACTTTTGAAGCCATCAAAGCACTGAACTCTGCTGGTATCTTCTGACAAGTTGACTCATATTCTTCCAAAACATCCTAGAAGTAAACAATACAAATTATAATTTAGGCAAATGGGAATTCTAAATATGTCTAAACAAAACAAAAAAATTGTGCATGAGTTACTTGTAGCCTGTCATGATCAGCCTTGATTTTGCTTTCTAATGAGATTAAATGTCTGGCCTCCAGTGGAATCTCCAAACCCATCATCAACAAACACAGATAATCTCATACACTTTAGGATCAAAGTTGACCAGGATTTTCTCTGTCTCTGGATGACGAATAAGAAGTGTGTTGTTCAAGACTAGGACACAAAAGATATCAGAATAAAATATATACAGTATACTATTGACACTTGTACCATGACACAGCCTAAAAAAGATATTTGGCGCCACCTAGTGAAAAGTAAAAAATCTAAAGGAAAGGTTATAACCAACCTTTGAGGTGTGACACTTCCTCCTTCCATGCTTTGTAGTGAACAGTTTTGTAGTCTGTCAAAGCTGTAGTCGTCTGATTGTACATCTTGACAATACCGCGGCCCTCGTGATTTCGGAGGATGTCAGAATTCGCCTTTTTGAAAAGTTCCATCAAAATTTTGTAACATATAATTTAACTGTATGTACGCTTAAAATCTTTACATGCTTGGATGAAAGACATAGGTTCCTCTATCTTTTTGTACAGATTTCTTGCCCACCTAATCCTCCCAGTCAAAGGGGGCATATTTCTAGCAAGGGGAGTCTTTCTCCTTGGAGTATAACTGTAACCAATCCACAGAGAAGCATACTTTATATGATTTTTGAACACTATACTAAAGTAAAAGATAAAATATTGCGAGTGTACCAGGTTCACAAAGTTTAGCTCAGTGACAGAATGTTGGAGAATAGAAGCCAAAATATCTGGTGTTTTGGCATTCAAAAAGGGAATGTTGAGCTTCTGAAAACTGCAAATAGAAACACACGTTGTTAAACAGTTTAATCCATTAAGTTAATTTTAGTTTAAATTTCTGAACAAATAACAAACCGGAGCAATAAGCGCAGAGCTTGCTGAGTTGTTGTGATATTAGAGAATGATGAACTCATAAATGTCCACAGTTGCTTCTGCAGATGAAGAACAAAACAACACATGAAGAACAAAAAAAAACCCTATTGAAATACTTGTTTTGGGGAAAAAATCTAAAACAATACCTCAAGATTGCTGATTTGACCCATAAACTCCACAAACTCAAGTTCAAATTCAAAGTTTGTTGGAGCGAGTATCATACTGTCTCTGCTCACACTACTACCACAAGTAGTTATTTACTAATGTTAAGTATATACTACAATATATTATTTTATAGTATAACCTTTTCAAGTTTCTTGCAAAATGTATCAAATGGTCCAAATATGTGTATTTTTGAAAGCTCTTTGCAAAAGGGTATCTTTGAATGCTTTTCCATCGTCTTCTGTTCAAAGCAAGACTTGTATTCGTTGAACAAAGAGATACAGTCCTGCAACATACTGCAGTTATGCAATCATACTTGCATAAATCGATTACTCAGTTTATCATGACTTAAGTTGGGGTTTCATTTACGGTTACCTGCATTTTCTGGGTAAGGATCTCAGGATTATGGTCCCATATTTGATATCGTCCATTTTCAGAGATGTAAGTTCTACATGCATTTAGCATTTGAATTGTGACCTGCAGAAAGTCTTTGTAAATGTCCTGATTCTACATGTACACTACACTACAGTATAGTCATCATCATAATTATTTTTCTTACTTTTATTAAAAGTATGGTAATCTTCTCATCTGTATTGTAGTACAGTGACACATTGTAAATCATGTGAATGTCATTCAAAACATTCTGCACACTTGTAATCACTGAAATCTATAACCAATACATGAGAAATATAAAGATTTGTGTTATTCAGTAAACCATTCACATTATGTTTTGAATTCTTCTTTTCTGTTCTTACCAGGTCACTGTTGTAGAGCGGCTGACAGTCTTTTTCTAATGTACTCAGAAACTTTATATTGTCTTTTGCTTCCTTAACACGATCACACGAACCTTGGCATCCAGTTCCTGACACATCTAATAAATAGTTTAGTGTGTAAAACAGCTTTTGTCTCATATGATTATTCTTCAAACTGGAAATGAGTTTTATTGTACCTTTAATGTTTTGGACTTGCTAATATAAAGAACCTTAACCACAGCTTTACACTCAGAGCTTTTGATGTGATTAACAATTGAGTCAAACTTCAGAGACATTTGCTTCCAATGTTCTAACTCAGAAAGTGATCCTGCAGAATCATCAAGGCTCCTCACTTGATCAATCTCAAGTAGGACCTATAAACAAAACTAAAATATTTTAGTCAACAAATTAATATCAAAACAATGAAGTGCTGATACGTAATAACAAACCTGATCAATTTCCTTGTACCATTTCATCAAAATTTCCTCAAAACGACGCACCATCTTAAGGTCTGCAGCTGCAGATTTCATATCATTCAGGCAGGCCACTTTGGAAAAGTCTATATCAGTGACTTTGGTCATGTGAACAGTGCTCTCCTGCTGTCCTTGTAAATCTGGAGACAACAAAGTGTTAAATATGAGAAATACATTTAAAGTCTAATTTTAACAGTACTCACTATCTAATGAGCCAAGAAAGTTATTTACTGTGAACCTAAAGTTGTTTTTAAATTTCTCCCCATGTCTTGACTGATTTAGCATGCCCTAGTGTTGTGCTGCATCTAAAGCTGGCAATACACCACTGAAAGTATCCTTGATGCCATTCAGAAAACCATCTTTGCCATCAATTGTCAGAAAAAATAATTTCCTAAAATATGTTCAAGGTTTTAAGCTTTTAGGATCACACAAGCAGTGTGTGTGTGATTTGCATAGGCAAACTCACCTTGTGAATATTTTCTGGAGTCACTGAAATGTTATCTTGTTTTCGCACAAAGAAGCAGCCACTTTCCAGTTAAGCAAGTCTTAGACAAATTGGCTAAAACCAGCCTCAGAGTAGTTTCCCCTTTCCCCAACCCAGGGTAAGACCTCCCACACTCTAGAATACAAATAAATACATATGGGTGCGCACCTTTAGTCACTTAATGATAAGGATCTGTCATCATGTCAAACACAGTAGTTAATAATGGTTTTATGAGAACATACCAATTCCTGGGATTTCAGCCTCTTGGTAAACAAAGGAAATACATTTGCTGCCTCGTTTGGCAAAGAATGTATCAAATGCATCAAGCTGTTGAGCAGACAAACACAGATTACAGAATTAGACTGAAACTAATAAAGCTAAACAGACACAAAGCTGTGTTTTGTGATTTACAGGAATCATAATTATAATAATAATCAAAAATAATCATACAAACTTACAGAAGATGCATCTAAAATAAAGTCTTCAACTGCAGAAGGCTCCAAAGAAAACAAGTTAGCCAGGATATCAAACATGTACATGTGTGCAGGAGTAAGAACCCTTTTCCGCTCATCTCTTAACTGCTTGTACCTGGTCTAAATGAGGAAAAGTTATTAGTCAACTAAAATAAAGTAGCCTAGTACACAGATTAGGCCTACCTGTTATCATCATATGGTGCCAGAGACTAAATTTACCTGTGACTCCTGTATTTTCAGTTTTCGTGCATCCATCTTGGTGACTTTAGATCGTCAAATGCAGTGCTAGAAAAAAAAAGTAAATGTATTATTATTACTATTAGTGGTATTAGTATTAGTATTAGTAGTAGTAGTAGTATTATATACATATATATATATTTTTTCTAATTTTACAGAGACTCCGGTTGTTCGAATAGAAAAAAAGCTTGGTTAATTACTGTCATAAAATACAACACACAACATAAAATAAATACTAAATAAAGCTAGTTTAATGTTATACATTAAACATTATACATAAAAATTACAGTGTAAACGCAACAGTTGAAAGTTCTAGTTAACGCTAGTTAGTTGATTACTGCTTTGGTTGCGCATTCACCAGTTTTACATTCACAACGTTCTTACCCTAAAATGTCCTCGATAATGTTGTTTTTCAGCCGGTTGAACGCATTTCTTTCTTTGTTTTCAAGAAAAAAAATCTTCTGGCAATTTTCTCTTTCAACGGTAAACGTTAACGAACGTTGACACATTTTGGGCACGCGCGATGTGACACCTTAGCAGCTTTATCTGATTTTTAAATATAACGTCTTCGTATACACCTGTATTTTTCTCATCCTTGGCTTTTGTGCGTCCATCTTGGATAATACGATATTACAGTACAAAACTAAACTTTAACCACGTTAAAATTAGAAACTGATTTTAAGATAGTTAGCAGTTCTAGAAAAATAAAAAATAAAAATAAATAAATAAATAAACTTAGAATAAGAGGACGTTAATTTGTAGGGTCTTTTGGCTCCCTCTATGGGTCAGGATTTCACATGCTGTGCCCCTTTTGAACTTTCCGTCGACGTCAAGGTCCCTTAAACAAAATTATGTCATTCGTACTATTATCAATGATGTTATGCTCTTGGGGCTAGTGGTAAAAATATTGATGAAGACATCTTCTTGAAAACGTATTAAAGTTGAGGGGAAAAACACGTACGTTAATTCTGTTTTGGTGACAATATGATTTTAGGGAGTTACTCAAATTTCCCATGGGCATTAAAATCAATGCTTTTACGTGCCCCTAAGGTGAAAAAGTGGCGGGGCGTGTTAGGCAAAGTGATGCAAATATCCGGACAGATCTCACCATAACAGCGGCGGTTTGGGGGACTGGCTGATCCGGGCTGATCTGGGACCAGTTGAGCAGCTGAGCGTGTGTCTCGTGGTGCACTGCCATTGGTCCAGGCACGGCACAATACTGGCCAATGGGAAGGAGACATCTGTTCACCGGAGTCACTCTAAAATATCCCGTCCTCTTCCGTGTGCTCATTCACAACTCGAAAAGGTTGTCGTGAAGACTGCATTTGGGGTGAAAAATGCAGATTTTTACTGTAGTAGCGGTGGTATTTGCTGTATGCAGCGTACACGCAAACGTGTACTTTCGGGAGGAGTTCTCGGACGGAGGTAAGTGTCAGTAATTGCCAAAATCCATCATCAAACGTGCAGCGATTTATGGATCCTGTCTTGGCATACTGTAAGCGATGATTTGGGGCATTTAAGCTTGAGCCATCGGTTTTTAAGCCATTGTGGATGCGTATTTCTCACTAAACTGTTACTAACATGTTATTATCAAAAGTAATTGTCGTCCCATGCACTAGCTTACAAACTGGCCCAGAAAGCTAGCAGGCCCAAGTGTAACTGAAGTTTTTTTTCTAGATGCTTGGAGAAGTCGATGGGTGGACTCCAAACACAAGTCTGATTATGGCGAATTTAAACTCACCGCTGGGAATTTTTATGGCGATGCAGAGAAGGATAAAGGTAAACACACTTGATTACATTAGACAGCTGTATATTCAGTGAACGGTATTAGTTAATCATTTTACATTCTTGCTGTATTCAATTGAAAGTGAAACTGAATTAAACAAATTCTTGCAAGTCATGTGACCTTTTTAATGATACCTTGTGATTGGCATTTGCCTATCAGTCTGATGTGTATTCAGTTTCTCCATTGTTTTATTTGTCGAATATGGAGTGCCTTTTATGTTAATTGGAGTGATAAAGGTCTTTTATTGTTTATTGTTTGCTCTTTGAATTACAGGTCTGCAGACAAGTCAAGATGCTCGTTTCTATGCAACCTCTGCCCGCTTTGAGCCATTTAGCAACGAAGGCAAATCCCTTGTTGTTCAGTTTACTGTCAAGCATGAGCAAAAGATTGACTGTGGGGGTGGCTATGTAAAGGTCTTCCCTGCTGACATGGATCAGACAGATATGCATGGAGATTCCACATATTATATTATGTTTGGTAAGTTATCCATATATAAGTGACAACCAACATAAACCATACTGAAAGTGAAAGCTTGAATAAGTGTGTGTTTTTTTTTCTATTTCAGGGCCAGACATCTGTGGCTACAGCACCAAGAAAGTCCATGTGATCTTTAACTACAAGGGCAAGAATCACCTGATCAAAAAGGAAATTAAGTGCAAGGTATTAAAAAAATGTGTATATATAAACTTTAAAAACACTTTATTGAGCTTTTGTTTAAAAAATAAAAAATAAATCCAATGTCTAATCCATATACATTTTCTTCTCTGTCAGGATGATGAGCTGACTCACCTGTACACTCTGATCCTGAACCCAGATCAGACCTATGAGGTTAAAATTGACAATGAGAAGGTAGAATCTGGCACTCTGGAGGATGACTGGGATTTCCTGCCTCCAAAGAAAATTAAGGATCCTGAGGCCAAGAAGCCAGAGGACTGGGATGACCGCGCCAAGATCGATGATCCTGAGGACACCAAGCCTGAGGTAAAAAACAAAATATTATGTTAGTTCTATTATAGTTTGTTCAAAGTTATGTTGTATAAATATAGACAATGGTGGCAAGTGTGTCTGCAAATGCTATGGTTAATTTCGGAGAATTTTGCATTTTGAATACATTTTATATAAAAAAAGGGTGACTTTCCCAACCACACTGGCTTCACTGCTATAACCATATTTGTGTCTATAGGATTGGGACAAACCCGAGAACATCCCTGACCCCGATGCCAAGAAGCCTGATGACTGGGATGAGGATATGGATGGAGAGTGGGAACCCCCCATGATCCCCAATCCAGAGTACAAGGTAAGCTCTTTCCCTGCTCTTATCATAAGCATACTCTTAAGTTTTATATTTCTCTAAAAATAATGATTTTTGCAGGGTGAATGGAAACCCAAACAAATTGACAACCCCAACTACAAAGGAGCCTGGGTGCATCCCGAGATCGACAACCCTGAGTACAGCCCTGATGCCACCATCTACAAGTTTGACAACATCGCTGTTTTGGGACTTGACTTGTGGCAGGTAAAATTTATTAATTTGTCTGCATGTTATTGTTAGAAGTAATACAAAAACTCTGTTATTTATCCTTTTATTTTTTTTCCCTCAGGTGAAATCTGGTACCATCTTCGACAACTTCCTGATATCAGATGATGTGAAGGAGGCAGAAGAAATCGGAAAAGAAACATGGGGTGCTACAAAGGTAATATAATGTAGATGGTCTTTAACATAAAAAAAAAAAAATATACGATCAAGAGTAGAACAAATAGTAAATGTTATACTCTGATCTACTTCAACAGGAGCCAGAGAAGAAGATGAAACAGGAACAGGATGACGTAAAACGCAAAGAGGAAGAGGAAAGAAACAAGGCTCAGGAAACAGAAGAGGCAGATGATGAGGATGAGGATGAGGATGAAGGAGAGGAGGAAGAGGAGGAAGAAGATACTAAAGATGAAGAAGAAGAACAGTCGGAATCTAACGAAGCAG